ATCTCACTCTCTTTCTCTCTCTCTCTCTCTCTCTCCATCTCTATCTCACTCACTCTCTCTCTCTCTTGCTCTCTCCACGCCTTTTCTCTCCTCCTTTTGATGACTGACCATCACACCCACAACACACAGTCATGAGACAATACCGATGTCCTTGCCTGGCCGGCCAGAAAACACGAAAACAGCAAACACGCAAACACCAACAAAAGGTAGCTCGCTCCCAAAGGGGATAAAAACGACAACTAAAAACCAGTGACATCACAAAGTGTTTTCACCCGTTTCCACCTCTAGGCCCTAATGGCCTCTCTGCACGCAACACCCATTATTTGAATCAGCTTCCTCCCCCTTGGCCAGTGAGAAAAATAGTAATGGTCAATCATGGGTCTACATTTTCATTGTACATGGGTCATTGCATTCACCAGTAAATTGTTAAGACTGACTGTGTTGTTTACTTATTTTCAAATAAAAAAAAAGTTAATTGCTTTGGTCTAACAACTCTCTTGAGTAAACTATTTTGTTTATATTATTTGGAAGAAAGTAAATCATGGTCTAAAAAGCAAAGAAAATAGAGGGATCAACTCATCACAACAACATCAACCAGTGATACTTCAATCTATGTAAAATTACTTGTAACATATTTTGCTGTATCTTTACAAGGCCAATGAATTAGAAATTCAACAAACATTTGTTATATATATTGGTTGGAATGTACATGTAGCTGGTCTATACATCAAAGAGTGAACAGAGCATGTGCCCAGGACACATAGGCCAAATTGGGGCCCCAAGTTACAAGTCCAAACCCCTAAAGTTTCTAATTTCAACAAGTGGCTTGATCAACCATACATACCCTATATATTTTTACCCAATCGCAATCTATCCCTTTATGGGAGAAAAAAAAGCATGGAGCCTTACATATAAGCAGGGAGATTTAAACTCTCATCTCCCTGATATATATAAGTATAGTTGCAAATCCTATGCATTTGGGGGATTGGGTTTCCTAAGCTCTATTGTATGCAGGGAAACCCCATTTGTCCGACAAACTCGACCCCATATGGACCATGAAAATCACCTTCAGGCTAGAAATGTTCAAATTTCACTGCTATATATATATATATATATATACACATGTATATTAAAATACATAAGCAATATTCTGAAATCCTTTGCTATCAGACTGGCACCAATTCAACCCCGAGCGAGCTCAAACTCTCACGACTTCAGATGCTAGACTTCAAACAATTTTGCACTTGTCAGAGTATAGTCCCTCAATATCACGGGCGACGGGAAATTCTTAAGGACAGATCACCAGACAACCTGAGAGTTTTTGTACAGTCTCGGGAGATTGAGGAAGAAATGCCAGCTAAGAATGTATAAAATGCAGGAAATCTACGTTAAAATTCTGAAAAAAATTGCATGGTTCATAATTACCATGAATGCAAAACCTCCAGTTTCATTCTTGCATGGATACATGTACGATTTAAAATATTTGACTATGGTATCTTTTACCGCTAAGAGCTTAAAACACTGCAAATTTCATCACTTTTTTGCCAAGACATGTGAAAGAGCACATGTGTATTGTACAACAACAGACCATAAAACAGTTACCAAAGGCCAAATGGGGTAAGAACAGTTCTGTTTAAAGAAATAAAAAATAAAAAACAAAATTGCCAGGATCTTTCGGAAGCCATCCTGATCTCCTTAACCTCTGAAGGATTGTTTTATAAGAACATGATTTAAAGACAAAGTGTATCACTAGGTCAAGTTTTATTTTGGTGCACTAGCCAAACATCACACAGCTCTCAGTCTTAGCATAGCTACAGGTGTCAGGACGCTTCACCCTAATTATATCATATTTGTACTCAATGCAAAAGAGAATGGTCCAAACTTGGGTTGAGCAATTTAGTTTAAAAAAATACCCAAGTAGATCCACACCTACAACCATTCTACCTTTCATATTTACAGTAGCTACACATAGAATGCATCACATCAGCTATGGCCTGTGCGCATTAGTTTCCATGGTTCCACACATGACATGTCTAGTTCCTTACGCTCTAACTGTTTACATTTCATTGCCTGCCATCTTGTTGTAAAAACATACATGTACATCAGAACATATCTCAAATTCTCAATTTTCCAATCAGTGCAGGTAACAGTCCCACTGTCCACATCCAGCCAGGACTACGTCCAGACTAAACCCTTCTCTCAAAATGGGTCTAGAAGTCTGCGCTGAGTGTGTATCAATCTTATGATGATACCATTCAGAGTAGACTACACTAGCTTTGTTCCGGACTCAGTCCAGACTGAGTGCTATTCTACCCCTAAATATGAAAGGGGGTCTAATTTGTCACAGTAGCTACATGTACCGACCTGAGCAGCCTGAGCAGCCAGATCGTTGGCCCTATCACTGAAGGAGATGGGAAGTGATGGTGACAGGTACTCAGCTGACTGGCCTCAGAGGCAAGCTATCTCAAGTGAGATGAAAAACGTGACTTGCTTCCAAAACGATAAAAACTTGAGACGGGCCCTCCACCTCCTCTTAGATCTTTGCTCCTAGACAAACAAATATATCTCAAGATAATAGTCTGAATATTTGTAACACCCCAGAAGCTCGAGAATGAGACAGGCCTTCAAGCATGAGCAAAAATAGAAACAATTTGTTATCAGAATACAAAAATTTTGAACCTCTTTTTTTGTCTTGGTCAGTCAAAATTGTTTACGTCTGTTATTTATATTGCTCTCATAATTTTTACTTTTTTTATGAGAGTTTCCAAGACCCAGGTCGAATATCTTACAAAAGGGTCACAAAGACGAAGATATAGGGAGAAACCATTCTTTACCTCCATCTGCAAGACTCTACAGAGCTTGGATGTGCTCTTGAATTTTGTCTCATTTACTTCCTTCAGGAGGGTTTTTATTTTTCAGGTTCTTCATCTTTAGAGCTTTAGTATGAACTCTTTACAAGCAGGGTAGCAACAAAATGTCCTTTCACACAAGTTCAGTCAGGTTGACAACCTCATTAAACCTTAGCACTTAATTGGACCCAATTGCCAAAATGTATACATGCAGAATGACAGTACCCCTCAATGAACCCCAGGGAGTGGAGATGGTGCACATGATGTGTGTCGAAGAACCTGTCTGGAAAGGCCACCTGTCTACAGTGATCTGTCTATAGTACAGTGGTCACTGCCTCACTGGTCATACGTTACCTTTGGTGGCCTTGGTAGATGGGTTTGACTATACATGTACATTACATTCCCTCAATGTTCCTAATACCCAATGAACTATAAGTAGCACTGCATATTAAACACAGTGGCTGCCAAGAAACTCTTTCACTCAACTTCAAAACAGACTCAATGACAGATGGTTCGACCGAAGACCTCTAATTTTAGATTTCTAGGGGTTTCATCTGGGCTGGATTCCAAGATCTGAAGCAAGTTTAGAATGTGGGCGTTCCCTCGCAAGTTCATGAGGCGAGCTAGAGTTACCCTTGGAAAATCTCATCACACTGTATCCCTAGAAAGTCCTACTCTCTGTAACTGTTCAGTATATCCTCTTATGATCTTAGAATATTGACTTTAAGATAGATATCCCAATTTGTTTGGTTATTTTTTCTCTCACAAGCTTGAAGCAATAGGGAGGGATATAAAGATGCAGAAGAGAAATGTGTCACAAATTTGGTGAGGGAAAGACTGAGCTGACACTCCCTGTGCAAACCTTATAGAAATGATTTGTTTCTAAGAAATGTAAAAGAAAAAGAGGGTAAACATGGGGAGGGGGTGCCCCCACTGGCAGAGAAACAAGGCAGTAGGCTTCAAATTCTCCAAAATTATAGGGGCAAGACACACATACAACATCAACATACATATAGAACAGAAAATAACAAAACTAAAACGCTGATGTAGTTGTAATTAGAAGTTGTTGTTGAGCATCATTATTTTCTATTCTTCTACAAATTTTGTTGAGAAATGGAAACTGAGAATACAGGTCAGGAGTAGGACCGTAAGATCATCAATTTCACAATCTTCAATCTCCAACATCAGCACGTACAAAGTACATGAAAACAAAACTCTGCAGCCAAACCCTTCCAACTATCCCTCTGGAGGGGTAATTCCCGCCCCCATCCAGGGGTGCGGATACCGGTAGGAGGGGGGCAGGTACCACGTGCCCCTAGTCCCTGGTCGCTCTGTTGATTGCCAATTTCCATGTGTCCTCGGTATACATCCTTCATGTGATAGGGACATCCTGGTTAACCAGGGAGCTACGTCATCATCCAACTTCAAAGTTTACTCTTTTTATTTTCACCCTTTATCCTATCAAACGTTTCATTCTTTCTTTGTTCCCCCCTCTCTTGGTTTCTCTCTTCAATCTTCTCCACTGCCTGTTACTGGGAATTATAATCTTGAGCACTGCTGTTATATTTACATCTAAATCTAAATCAAAATCTCCCGTTCATTCTGTCCTTGATAGGCCGATAGCTTTAAATTTCTGGGTAATTGAGATTACTTTAATACATTTCTTGTAAAGAAAACATTCTATAAGACGTCATAACTGAATACACTCTATGCATTTTACATGTACTGTACATGTATATACTACTCTTTCTGTTTAGTACATTTGTATGTACACATATTTACTCTTTTCTTTTCCTCACCCATGCAGTTTCTTTTCTCTGTCTTTGTAAATTCTCTCTTTCTCTTTCTCTCTGTCTCTTTCTATTTCTTTCAGTGCATTGACATCTGTGTCTCTCTACAGTGCAGTGTAATTCTCTCTAATCTTCTTATGTCACTGAGCTATGATCACTTTCAAGAATACATTTACCTTTCTCTCTCTCTCTCTCTCTCCCTCTCTCTCCCGTTCTCTCTCTCCCTCTCTCTCTCTCTCCCCCCTCTCTCTCTTTCCTTTCACTCCTTTGCTCTCTCTTCACACCCACTTACATCTACATAATATAAACGTTTATTTCTAAACACTGCAAAGCACAAACCATAAATCATATCTATCATTACCTTTAGATCCAGATGGGCTATATTCTGTGAATGCAGATAGTGAACGCCCTCTAGAATCTGTTGTAAAAGTCTGACCACGTCTTTTTCACAGAACCCGTCCTCTTTGTCCGCCACACAGTACTGGTGTAGCTCGCCCCCACTGGCACTGCAAATGAAAGAAAGGAAGAAAGAAAGAAAACGAGTGATATTAATAACTTATGGCATACAAATTAACAATGTTTTTCATATACGACACCAGTGACCAGTCATGACAAATTTAACATCTCAAGTTCGCACAGCTAGTATGTTTTGCCCTCAGCTAGTATGTTTTACCCTCAGCTAGCCCTAATAATGATTTTTAAACAATTATATACAATGTGTCTTTTCTTTTTTTATCACACATTATGATTCAAGTACAATTATCATACAACATGTGTTCTGCTGAGAGCCAGAAGGGCATTTATTCAACATTCTTTTCCACAGATTAAACACCCTTCTAGCTATCAATGAACAACTTCTCCAAATGGCCGCACCCCCCTCCCCCCCCCCCCCCCCCACCATCCCCTACATCTCTTCCGAGAAAAAAATATGAAATTCTATTTTATTTCATTTTTTATTGAACTGCCATGAATTTACTTAGAAAATATCATTTTAAATTTAGTTCACACACATTATAAATGTATTTGCATTACAGTGTAGTTTCACTGATTGAGGATTTACTAATTAATACAAATTTCAATAAAGGGTAGGTAATAGACAATAAATATTCATAGCATAGCAACCGAACCCCTTCTCTTCTTTTTTTGCATTTGTGTACATTCACAACAGGACTCATGCTACAGATTTTGACAAGAAAGCCATGATGTATGAACTGTACACTCTGCATCTCGGCAACATGACTCAATAAACTTTGTATAGTTCATTGTGTACAGGGATTAATAGCCCAAAGTCCAAGTATTTCTGGATTGGTAATCTCAATTTTGCAAGCTGCGAGAGTGGGATTCTCAGCTAAATATAGTTCTAAACCAGTCCCTACCCTGGTACATGTATATTAACGGTTCACCCACACGCATTGCCAACATCGTGACAATCGTGACAATCATCACAGGACCGGTGAAATAGGCCGCGATCAGATAAAAATCTGACATCGCAGCACGTTTGTTTTGTTTCGGCAAGAGCTTAATATTAAGGTACTGTAGGAGCGAATTTCAAATCTTGGACAAACAGATTTGGCAATTTGTATATAGTCAGACGTATTAGAACATGTTCCACTTTCCTACTCCTATTCATTTAGTGAACTGATTCTGCATTTGAAAATCAAACCTTGTGCAATTCAAATATTTAAATGAAAGAATCTCAAAATCATAAGATTTCTCTTAACTCCTTTCTCTCCCTTTCTGCCCCTCTCTCCCAACCTCTCTCCCTTTCTGCCCCCTCTCTCTCTCTCTCGATCCCTTTCTGCCCCTTTCCCTTTCTCCTCCCCCTCTCTCTCTAACTCCAAGCTTCTGATATTTGTTTCTGTTTTCATCTGTTTCTCACTGTAAGCCTCCATCTACATAACTATGAAACATTTTTAATTCTCATATTAATATATTACAGTACAACATTATTTTCAAGGGAAAAAAGCCCCACCTCTAGACCCCTAGATCACAAAACAAAACTAAAAATGATTTTTTAAAATTTTTTTTTAGTGGGCCTCTTTATATTCATCTTTCCTCTTTGAATAGCAAGGAAAGGACGCCAGCCTCTTTGAAGCGATATCCCGGTAACGAGAAGTGACGTTACCAAAATTCTTCTGCACACCGAGGGTGAGAACTCTTGCTGTGCAACTCTCAATTTCTTTCTCTTTCACCCCCTCCAGATTAACTCAGTGGGACTACATTCCAGTCATTTCCATTTCTAAACTCTTCCAAGAGAAAAAGGACTTAGTTCGAATTAAACATCGCCTTTTATAGAAAACCACTTACAATATCAAATGACTGTAATGTATCTTTCTATCCCATTGCAATCTCAATATATAGGGTCAACTATTGACAAACTACTGCCAGTAAAGTGAACAAATTTGTTTATCATAGGTAGGCCTGCAGAACATACTAGAATCAATAAATGAAAACTACTGGTAGGCATTTCCATATACTACTGAAAATAATATTTCCGTAAATCGTGGTTAATTATTAATGCCGTCTCTGTGTTTATAATTCAATTGTTAGAGCATTTTCTATTCTCTAAAACAATACACACTTCTGAGAATTTTATTTACCGGTATTCATATTTTTATCAAGGCCCTCGCATAATACAGGTACATATTGTGTGGTTTGAAACACTCAGTAATTGCTAATAACATTTAATATTTAAATGAAACATCACATGGCAAATTGCATGCAGGCTATTTGATTATCAAAGCAATACAATTTCAAGAAAACAAGATCATCTATACCCAGTATTTTCAGAGTGAAAAACAAGTTTGATATCTATTTTGTGCTTCGCTGTTTTGGAAAGTCATGATTCCTGCTAATGAACTCACCTTTATCTTTAAAATGGAAACTTAGTAGGAATTCTTTAAAACTTTTGCAAATTGTTAAGACCGTTTTTGCGGCAAGAAACCTTCGATAACAGAAAATACATATGTCACTTTATGATTTAATCTTATTCTCCTTTACTATCTTGACCTAAAAACAAAACCTGCTTAAGTTTTATGCAAGCATTCCTTTCTTATTTGTCAGTATGTTTTGTCAAGATTTTTAAGACCTTCTTTCAGCAGTTCGCTTCCCTAAACTCTAAAGCTTGGTAAAAACATCACATCACTTTCTAGTTTTCGAGTATTCTGACAGCATGAAAACACTGATCCATTCATTATCAATATGAATTATGAATTAGGACTGGTATGACCTCACATGGTGGTTTTGGCGTGTGTCATTGTATCAGTTTTTCCAGATGTGACTACTCAGCTCATGCACCCAAACAAAGACTAAATCACATGATTATCTCTTCCCATCTCACAAAACAAGATGGCTCAAACAGATCCAAAACATGACTCATTAACGAGGGGAAAGGGGGGGGGGTAACTTAGAAAACCCTGTCACGTGATACTGCAGATCGACTATGCAGACAAATAAGGGCAAAATAAAGAGTTATTTTGCCAAAAATCTTGCCACAGCCAGTTGGTATGGCTTTAGAACACGTCATGGCACAGCAAGGGTTTTCCTGGATCACGTTTGTGGGATTTGTGTGGGCCCATCCCCCGCTTCCTATAACACATTTCCTGATGAGAATGAGCACTTTTTTCTTTTCAAATGAATATTTCCTGTTTATCGCTACAACCAAAGCTTCATGGGTTGTCTAGTAAAAAAAATAATGGTGACATGTGCAATGCATTTTGCAACTTTCATATTGTGACCAATTTCAGAACAAATAGCATCCTAAACTGTACAAGTTCAAATACATGTATGTGTGTGCTGAACTCTGTTTTTTGTTAAAATAAATCTCAATCAACTATATTTAAATGCAGTATAATAACAGTACATGCCCCTACTTACATTTTTATCTCAACACTTCAGAAGATTACAGGGGAAAACCAGCACTCTCCACCAAGTACCCCTCCCACAACCCCTCCCTCCCTCCCTCCACTACACTTCAGTTCAAACCTAGAGTTCTGAAAGTTGAAATTCATTGCAAAATGGACAAGAGTAGACCATGCGGCAACCCCTAAATCAAAATGGGGGAAGGGGCTGCAAACTTACATAAATGTGTGTCATTGATTAAAAATATGCTTTAGTAATGCCACTAAAAGCAAATGAAATCATATTGGGCATCAGTAACAGATGTTGAGAAGCACAGCTGACTCTATTTAATTGAATACCTAATTTGACTTTGAAGTGGACCTTACAAGGACCGGTGTGATTGCTGACGCATCAGACGTTTTCAAGAACAGGCTCGTTATCACAGGACGTTGTACAAGCCCATAAAACCACCGTTGTTTCCTCGTGTTAATCTGATCAAAGTTCCGCCTATCCCAAACACCTGCTGCGTCGGTAATAGATCTCGAGAAACTGACCTAATGGACCTACGTAATCGTATTACCCATTAAATTGAATGCCCCATCCACTCAATCATCTTTTTACATGTAGGTCCAAGCGTCACACCTGTGATGATAAGTGTGTTCTTTAATTCAAAGTATTAACAGTGAATTAAAAACAATGACATTTAGCGTTTTTCTTAAAAATATGAATAATCATTGTCACCTAAAAAGGTTAACACATGTGTACATGTGTCTCCCAAGTAGCCCCAAATGTTGCAGCTTTCAAAACAGAACAAAATTGTTGCTGTACTACCAACAGGGCCAGATGACCTGGTACCAACTTTATGGCATTTGCAAAAATGAACAGGGCTAACATTCTGTGCAAACCATTGGTCATAAGGGCTCTTTGAAGAACAAAAACAATGGAGTAAAAAAAATATTTTCATTTTTTTAATGTAAACACAGGTACATTTTCCATTTTCTAATTCCTACATGTGTACATGTACATGTACAGTACATGTATATGAGAACAAGAAAACAGTAGAGAACTCAACGACACATGCACGTGTAGCCTGAGTGCTCCCCCACCGCAAGTTGGTCATTATTTTCTATGTCTCAGGTTAACTAGTGGTTTAAACTGTTTGGTAGCTCTCAATTGTGGCCTTTATATTCATTTCCTTTCCAGGATATTGATCTGTGTGTATCAACTATCATCATACCTGCAAACTCTTTCATAATATTCTAAGAATCCACATTCTCAAAGTTTCTTAGGATTTCCTTGTATTAATTGTTTCTACGAAGTACAAGCTTGAACAAATGTGGAAAATACAGGTGTGTACTATAAAAACATGTCTTCCTCCTCAAATGTTCTTGATATGATATGATGTTCGATACATGTACATATCTTTCTTGGAACATGAACATGTACAGTTCAGTAGGTGAGCAGGAAATTGGTTTCACTTACAGTATCACCTTGGATTCTCAAGATTCTATTTTCATGGTACGATCACATTTACAGTTGTATAAATCTTTAAGTAAATTTCATCATCTAAAGTTCCTTTAAATAAGAGAATCAGTAAAGAGAGGATATTATTATCAAATGAATCATTGATAGTTGATACATGTACTTCAGCTCATAAAGCAAAGGTTACCGAATTCCAAAAGCTTAAATCAAAACTTCGGGACTTAATGCACTTGACTTAAAGAATGTTACCTCAATAAGGAAGAAATAAGCTGAATGCCTAAGCCAAATTATAAATTCAAAACCCCCCTTCTTCCCCTCTTTCAATATTATTTTGTTTCTCCTTCCATCATGAAACAAGCATTTTTCCTGCCTGTCATTGATGAAAGGAAATGAGGGTAAGGGTCAAGTCTGGGCAGAGACGAGAATCTGCGTGATCGCGAGATTTAACGTAACGTGAGCTGCTGCAGTAGGTTCGGAGAGCTCAATCCACAAGAATGTGAAAAGTCTGAACCTCCAAAATAGACCGGTCTTGCTGTTAAACTCCCTGCATGCCAGCCTCATCGTTCCCCCTCCCGCACATACACTGTAACCATGAAACACCTCTCATTGGGCGTTAAAGGGTTAAAGTGTAGCTGCGGTTGCAAGGCTTCTTTAAGACTTTATCTGACTTTGCCAGTGCAGATATTAAAGTGAGATAACTATCACTATCAACAGCCCAGGCCTAAAAAGTGAAGTATCAGAATCATTAGGCGCGTCCTCATCATCTCGAGATTGCAAAATAGCCCGCTATTTCTGATTTGGGAAATAATCCCGAAGTTGCAAATCGCGTCTTCATCAAATTAGCTCGAGATATTTTGCTCAGCGTTAGCGCATAGGGCGAGTCTTCGATCTGGTGAAGACGCACAGGACAAATAGCTGGATATTTTGCCAAATCGTAGGATATTTTGCAAACTATCCCAAGATAGCTTGGGATGACAATCCCGACCAAATATCCCGCTAATTGCAACTTCGGGCTGATGAAGACGCAAATTAGCGAGGTAGTGAAGATAGGCCTAGTAAGGTCTGAATTGTTCCGAGGTATAACACACATGGCACAATTCCAGTGGCTCTCTTTAAATAGGCAATGATACAGCACTTGAACTTTAACAAATTGGAAACCAAGATTGTTTGCTAAAAAGAGAGAGATTGAGATAGCATATGGTACTACAAAACTATAGTTTAACTGATTTGAACTTATCGCACGGTTACATGACAGTTTTTGACACTCATTCAAATCTGTCATGATACATGTAGATATGCAGGTGAATTGTGAAGCAGTGTTCAGGCACTTCTTCTTTTTAAGCACCCTTTGAAACAGAAATATGCTTTAGTTCTTTTTAAGACATTTCACTATTAAAGCAGTAAGTTCAAAATTTACCATTTTCACTTAGAGAAGTTAAATGAATTTCCGGACTGATTTATTGTTTTGATTTCATCTAACGGCTAAATTACAAGTTTGAAGATGAGCTAGGACAGGATCTACAGCTGTGAGTCCTATCTGAGGGACTTATAGTAATTGAGAATCACTGCTTCACCAAAGGGCACTATAAAGGCATTACTGTGGTTTGAATCTGGAACGTCCTACAGTAGATAGAGAACCCTGCTCTACTTGCCTCCCCTTATATGACTTGACAAACAGGCAAAGAAACTTACTATTCCAGAACGAGAATGACTTCTGTTGATGTCTCGTAAACCTCGTGGAGACCGATTAGACGCTGGTTCAAGACCGAGTTCTCCAGGATGCGGATCTCTTTGAGGATATCTTCACGGCAGTCTCGTCCCATCTTGCGCTTTCTTACGAACTTGGCTGCGAAGTGTCGGTTGCTCTCCTTGTGCTTGCACTTGCGGACAACTGCAAAGCGCCCTCTGTGGATGAAAAGAAAACATTCATGATTTAATTGCAATAGCTACATAAGGATTTCAGTAAGAACACATTGTGTACATCTCAATTTATTTATTTTTAATTCACAATTGTACCGTAATCAACCTGTTTCATCTACAAAAGTAGCAATATAATTTAATATATCTACATTTTAAAAAAGACATGATTTTTATTTTTTTATTTCCCTTTTAGAAAATGTACCACCATTAAATGTGCTTGTATTTCACACTTGATGTCTGTATTAAAATGCCCCTTTAACACCCATAGATAGTAGATACTTTATTATCAAAGTGATATAATTATCATCACATCATAATTGGCATAGTGGTACCTGGTTATTCCATGCAAAGAAAGGGGAATTTTTTATTTCATTCTATGACGTGAAGACCCAATAATGTTTACATCCTATCGTGGCCACACCCGATATCAGACATAAAGGATTGATCTTTGTTCAAATGTATCCGATGGAAACTGGAAAGACGTGCAAAAATGCTTCCAATCCTAAGTCCATATAATCGAGGATCCGATTACCGAACCCCAAGAAGTTGAACTCCACAGAGGGTCCATGAGGCATGGTTCTCCATCACGCTTAGTTTCTAAAATATTTCCCCAAAGCACGATACAATACAGTATGTTTAAGCCAAGGGCACGATCTTAACATGGTTATGAAACTTATGCTTTACAATTCAGCTAAGACTGTAATAACAGATATTTAAACAAAAACAATGTACTGAAGACAAAACAAAAGGAACATACCAACAACAAAAAAATCACTAGAAAACGGTTGATTTTCAGTAAGGGGATTCATCTTACTGGAAATATGACGATAAGAATGTTATCGGCACCACAAAACGTAGGCATTTTCAGGACTAGTATTGGTACCCATTCAGCTAAAATAAAATGAAATCTTTTGCTACAATGTATAGAAAGGTCATGAAACTTTCAAATGAGAAGGGGGGGGGGGGGACGGGAGGGGGAAAGGGGTCACAAATGTACAAGTGAACATTAAAGTTTACTAGTAGCATCTTGTAGCTACAGGGGTGGAGGGGGGGGGGGGCTCTGTGCCCCCTCCTGCATCCGCCACTGTCGGCAAAGTTCCTGACCTACAGAAGACTAGTGATATCTTTAGAGTAAATTATGAACAGACTTCCTAATGCCATCTAAACGACGGCCCTTGTAGAGGCGACAAGCCCAGAATTATTTCCTCAATAGAAAAAGACACAACTTGATCTTGAATCACCGGATCCTATTCCATATTTAGGCCTTAGATATGAAACTGCATGACATCATGATTACCGATAAGGAACTATATCAAAAGATAATTCGGGACAGGTGTCTAAAAATCCCCTTATCGAATTATCTGATGACAGTGAAACCAAAAATGTAATCAATTCTTATTTCGCCGCGAACTTAGCTGTGTGATGTACAGCACAAAAATCCTTGTAACAATCAAATAAAATTTGAGATTGTGAGGTCTTTTCCCTCACAAGCTTCATCATCGACATGGTTTGTGATGCATTTTATATACACAAACATGTCCTATGTTGACATCCTCTTCTTACAAAATTATATCATTTGAGATAAAAGAAAAGTAAGACAAATGTATATGCTTTAAATCAAAACCATTCCAAAAATGATCGTGAAAATCATAAGAAGCAGCCCAAAGTCTAATTATATTGGTTACTATGAAAAATCTGAATTTCCAATAAAACACTGATTATAGCAGGCCATGTAAAATGAAGGTTTAAAAAAGTTTTTAAATGCAGCTTTGGCACATTGATCTTTAAGATTCATGTTCGGCAGCAGCATGTAAACACGTCCATATGGGGAAAGGAAGCGCGACTAATGCAATATTGCAGGTGACAGACATCGCGAACCATCAAATGAAAATCTACCTTTTCATCGAATCTGTGTTTGCAAAGGATGGGCTCACTTGGGGGGCTTGATCAGACAGATCTGTAATTAGTCCTCGGTAAATCGTTCCCCCGGGGCGGGGCGAGGGGTGAATCATTTGCACCCTCAGGACGATTAAGGAGATATCTTAATAACACGAGCAGCCAAGGTGTCAGGGACGATGAAAGATGATGCAGGGAGATTAAACCTCATGCTATATATTGGCACTGATGGAAGTGATAGAGGAGCTCGATCATGCCGTTTCGTAATATCTTCCTCGATTTAAAGAGAGATTTAAAGGAGGGACAGGGAACAGAAGGTTGATAATTAAAGCTACATGTGCATGTAATAAATATGATGAAGTGTCACAAAAAGGGTTTTGTGAGCAGACAACAATTATGCTCCGGAGAGCTCTCAAGGATCTTTGCGAAATTGAAAGAGCCCCCCCCCCCCCCCCCAACAAAAAGGAAAGGAACAAATTGCCATGTGAAATTTTTATTTTTATCTAGAGCAAAGAGCTCTTCTTCTTTAGCCATTCAGTTTTCTGTATTAATTGTATCAAGGGTAAGGGACATTTGGAGGTAGCGTGGGTGGAAGTGCTTTATGTACATCATCTTTGTTATTGGCTTTTGTTTCATTCCTATTTACCTCCACAATAAAATCAACTGTCTTTTTCTTTAAAAAATCAAGGGAAACAAATGAGGCATCCTTTCCAATGACCCTGGCTGCAGGATTACTCAAAAACAACTTCAGCAACCCACTCACATAAGATGTCAATTATATGTCTATTATCTAAATCCCATAACATCCCACCAGACAATAACACTAGTCAATCAATTAGGGGATAAACACGCTCTTCGCATGATCCTCTTGACTGATAGCTGTCTACTGTCTAGGCAAGGGAATTATATAGTTTCTTCACTCTCTTATCCCCTCAGCTATTGTTTTTGTTGCGTCCCATACCTAATGGCCATCCGGGCATTTCCGTTGCCCGGGCCGTGACTCTCATTGTCTTTTCAAGTTCACGGAACCATTTCATTGGAGGACATTGATGATGTGAAAAATAGGTGATTTTCTTTACTTTTTTCTATTTATATCACCGCTTTGATCACATCATTTCGTAAATAATTATTTTCAGAGATTTTCCCATCGGCCTTGCTATTTGCATAAACATCATGATTATGACCGAGATTTGAACTCACAGCCTACAGATAACCCTTGAGGCGCATACAAAATTGTTTAGCTTACCATCAATTCTTCATGCATGTACATACCGGTACGTACACTGAACTCAATATCGGACATAAACAAAAATATGATATAACAGCAAAAACAAGAATAAATAATAGATGAATGATGATGTGATTTTGACTTGACTTGAACTCTGTTTATAATAGTTAACTTTTACGGATCATTGACATAATTCAAACCGGATTCTGTGACTGCTTTATGAAAGATGTATAAACAGTAAATGTTTGTATTCTGTGCAGATGATATTCATTTCATTTCTGCTCTTTATATTCTTTTTCATTCTTTTTCATTCCTTTCATATCATCTGTAATCCCCCTCTATAAAACGGTATCTGATTTATGATATCTGATTCATCATTTTTTGGCATTATAATTGAGGGACCTCATAAAAAGAGTACAATTCAAACAATTTTGTCCCACATTTTGCCAGGTTATAATTTGTTTGGCTAATGTATTTTACGGATTTACTGCACAGAGGAATTCAACAAAACTGGTATGATACATGGGGGTGTTACGGGGGTGAAAAATCGCCCAAACCATCTCTTGTACAGTATGCTAGGAATTCCATGCTTTATAAAAAAGGACAAAGAAAGATATTGAGCTGTTGGTTTTTTCATTCTTCCTTATAAATATACTAAAGCCCCCATAGCATTTTCAGGTCTGGGTATTTTGCTACTCTTTTCACTCTTTTTGTCTCCTTAAGGCCACCACACGAAGGCAGGTATTCTACAGAAAGCATTGTAAAGAGGGACAATTAGGAGATCGAGACAAAAAGTAGTTTCTCCGGATGAGCACTTGGAGTTTACTTTATATTGATTAGCAACCAATCGATGGTGGTGCATAATACACTGCAGCTAGCTCTATCTTACATGTGTAACAAGTGAAGTCAATTCCATGCTTCCTTTATTCGGTGGTATTTTACAGGTGTACATGCTAATCGATATAAGGCCTAGCTGTATACCTTGCAAACAAGAACTTACAAGGTGGCCAAATTGTCTGGGCCACGTCACGATGCTCATAATTATGTGCTAGTATGATTGTGTAGGCCTCTAGCTTGTTGCTGCCTTTCCTACAGTGTATACTTGTTTTTATTAAATATGTTTTGCAATTATAATGTGTTTGAGAGTTCATATGTTTAATACGATGTAATGAATGAATAGTATCTTTAAACAATTTTCACTTTAAAAGATCTAATTCACGGATCACTTCAACTAATTTCATTCATAAAAGTTGAGGGCTACGTGTATCCGGTATAGGCCCTGATTAAACAGTAGAATCTTTTGAATGCTAATTCATAATTATCAACTCCCATCTCCCCTCCCCCCCCCCAAAAAAAAAGTCTTCATGGAATCATTTGCTTCAGGATATCATTCAAATGATGCACAAACGTTTTCTTGTTCACACAAAACGATTCCTAGCTGTCTGGAACCGCGACCAAGCTTCAAGTTCAAAACCATAACTGAGTTAAATGTAATAAGAAATTGAGCTTCACGGTTTGAATACTTACAAACCACAAAACACTTGTATTCCAAACCTCTATGTACAATGTGTACACATATGACCTAAATCCTGTTGACTTACAGAAAAAAGCCGGGAATACCTGACATATTTGGGGTAAACCGTTGGCTAACTTTGCTACCTTAAAGCATTCCTTACACACCTCATCATGCCCCTAAGCATTCATACAGACGGCAATATTGTAGCAAGCCAACAATAGAACTCAATTTAAGAACCAACACATATTCTCTACCCTACGCAAATACCAGTACACTGTACAAGTCGATATTGAAAGTAACAAAAAAGTAAATTAAAATGATGAAATGCCAGTTTGTCCATGAAAA